GTCAGAGACAGCAAAGTTTTCCTGAAAAGGGCCAGATGGTAATTAAATAAATTTCCACAAATATTTAGAGTGACATTCAAAACAAAGCTAATAGGCAAGGCCCGTGATTGAGAAGAATATGGTTGTTTTGAGGGTTGGGGTAACGTTTCCTTTAGCGGGGTGAGTCAGAGCTAGCTTTCCCTCACGCATCACCACACCCAACTGGACGTGTCCGCCTGTCAAAAACTGTTAGGTTGTGAACAGACAAGAGGTGGGGCATCTTTCGCCCTTGGCTCATGGGTTTCCCACTCCTGATCCAAAGCATCTCCTTCCACAGACTGTGGAGGCCGCCCCTCCACCCAGCCTGCCACCAGGTACCTGCTTGCCAGGACTGTGGGACGCAAAGAGGAGGTGGGTTTATCTCACACCACCGAGAAGGTAGTGCGTGGCAGGGGTGTCGCTATGGAGCTGTGGAACAGGAGGACCGGGCTGCCTGGTGGATCCCGTGGCTCCCGGACAGCTCTCATGTGCACAGAGGGACCTGCAGAGGCAGAGACAGGGGAGGCAAGAGCCTCATGACATTCTGGAACCATCACACACACGCCTATGTGGCTGAAGCTTTCGCAGGAGTCAGCAAGGCCTGCCGAAGTGAACTGTCAATGTTTTTCATTGTAATAGAATCCCCGACAGCTTATGGCTGCTTACTGCGAGGGGCAGCCAGGTGTGAAAATGCCGCCACTGGTGCTGAGAGGGTCTTTCTAGCTGTGGGTCTTTCATGACCCGTGCCCTCGTGGTCTCTGCTCCCTTTCCCCGTTCGCCATCTCCGGTTACCACTCCAACGGTTATTTATTTGCCTTGGAAATGTTTGAGACTCATCCCTACAGTCTTGTTTATGCAATAAATTTAATCTGGTAAGCTTGTTTTATAAACTAGAGGTCAGTTTGAGTCCAGCCCCTCAGAGTTTATAGGGTTTGGCCAGACATCAGCTACGGGCCAGGCCCACCCTGTTTAGGTCTTCATTGACTTCTGCAAGGTCCGTGTACTTGTGATTTGTCCGCATGTTTTGGTGCTGGTCGTCTCCCTCTTCCTTCTTGGGTTGAGGAGTTGCGGAAGAAGGGGTGGTAGGTGAGGTACAGTTAGAAGTCTCAGCTGCATTGCAGGTGCCTTAGGATTCTGGAGCCCACAAAAGCCTTATTCGTATTCTTGCTTTAAGATATTGGCAAAGCTTTGTGTAAATCACAGATGCAAGACTTTTTTGTCTTAATCATTATCACTTCTCCTGACTCCATAATCTTATGATCTATAAATACACGGCAATGGGGGGGGGTGCAGTTTTGAGCAGGGAGGGAATCGCTTTTCCCTGGTGTAGGTTTTAATTATAATTACCTTTGCCACCAAGCGCCATGCTCCAAGCTCACCTTCGCTTCAATCTCTGCTGAATAGACGGGAAAAGCAGCAGCCAGTGTTTGTTTATCTTCTCATTCCTGAGGCAGGAAACGGCTTCCCCTTCAACAATAGGGACAGAAGGACTCAGATGGAGGCGTGTTTTTACAAGACTTCTGTGCTGTCCTTGATAGGGAAAGGGCTGTAATTTTCAAAGCATTGTGTGGTGATTTTTGTTCAGCTGGTTGCAGAGCCAGCCCCTGGTACCTCAGTAGGTGCCCTCCTCCAGCCTCAGCCACACCCCACAGACACAGATGTACCCTGTGACTTGGGGTTATTAGCCGCAGAGCGCTTAACTCTACTGGAGACCTAGAGAAGCAGGCTAGGTTTCTGGCTGGTTACTCTAAGGTATCTAACGCCCAGATGGAGCCTGACTGGTTTCTGAACCAGTGTGGTTCCAATCAGTTCCTTCATCTTTGGGAGGCCTTTCCTGGAATCCTTTCCTGCTTGCCCCCTGTGACCTTGGTGACCTTGAGGTACTACAGAGCTCTCTCTCTCTCTCTCTCTCTCTCTCTCGCTCTCTCGCTCTCTCGCTCTCTCTCGCTCTCTCTCGCTCTCTCTCGCTCTCTCTCGCTCTCTCTCGCTCTCTCTCGCTCTCTCGCTCTCTCTCGCTCTCTCTCGCTCTCTCGCTCTTCAGAGAAGCCCTATGGCTTGGTACAGAGTCACGTTCTTTGGCAGGGCTCTCTGGTATGCAGTTGGTTGTGAATGCTGCACACACTCCAGCCCCTGACCTTAGAATACGGCACTGGGGCAAGTGACAAGCCACAAAGGTAGTTGTGATGTTATTTCGCTGAACCCAGTGTGTTCAAGTGTTCAGGGAGCTCAGTAGTAGTGTGGAGGTGGATAGCACCGGTGTGTGGGCAGTGTCCAAGGTTGGCAAAGCAGGTCAGTGTACAAGGTGAGTCCTGGCCTGCTGCTCCTCCCAGTCTGCGTCTGTGTCTGTGTGGGGTGTTTGTCTTCTGCAGGATCTTTGTCTTGGTTTTCTCACCAATACTCCCTGCTTTCATACTGGGCATGCACCAGGTGCTCAGTCAATCTCAGCTGAAACCGTGAACAAGCACAGATGCCGTGGTTCACCCTTCCTGTGGAGGGATAGCATGGCTTTGCTGGAGAACCAGACACCTGTGAGCCAGCCTGTGAAGCTGGGATCAAGAGTCAAGAGGCCGGAAGATATTCCAGGGAGAGAAGGCAATTAACACTGTTTAGAAGCAGAAGAAAACAGCTAATTGGGTGAGCATCAGGCAGTTCACTGAGAGCTCAGAGGACCACCAGAAGTGAAGGTGGCAGTTCAGGGGCTTGACGGATTAGCTCAGAGCGCAGGGAGGCTTCTACGGCTTCTTTGAACTGTGCTGTTAGGAAGAGTTGACTTCCAAAGAGCTCACCCCTTCTGCTGAGGGGTCCTCTGCTGTCTGTGAGGAGGCTTGAAGGAGGATCTTCCCGGACTGCATGTTTGCTCATCAGCTGTGTTTGCAGCAAGGGTCTGCGACTTGGGGTGGGAACTCCCAGCTGTGACAGCATCCTGATTCACCTTGTCGGAGCTCTACTCCCTGACATATGGGTGTGGTGCTTCAGAGACTGCCTGAGCAAACATAGCCTTGTGGAATACCGCTTGGAGGCCTGAGGGAGATGGGGCAGGGCAGGTTTTTGTGGGTTACCTACTATTTCCAAATTTCTGTTTTTAAGGTCAAGAGTGGGTTAGAGATGGCCACCCAGGAGCATTAAGAGTTCATGGGGGTTAGGGAGATGGTTCAGTGAGAGAATTAGCTGTACAAGGATGAGGCCCTGAGTTCAAACAAATAAACCAAAAAACCCAGAGCCCACAGCATAAAAAAGCCAGGCATAGCCATAATAACCCCAGTACTGGAAGGTAGGGCAGATGGGTGCCGGGAGTCAGATGACCAAGGCGATTCTGTCCTAAGGGAATAATGTGGAAAGTGACGGAGGAGGACGTAAAGTGTCCTTTTCTGATTTCCACAGGTGTGTACCCCCAAAATGTGTGCATGCATGTGTGTGCGCGCGCACACGCGCACACACACACACACACACACACACACACAGAGTGTGATCCCACAGAAAGCCAGGCGTGGTAGCAGGTGCCTGTAACTCCAGCACTCAGGTAGTGGGGAGGATCTCTGGGGTACATATCCCACACTTAAAATCTTTCCCCATATACAGAAAACCCAACTCATAAGAAATTTTGATTCAAGGCCAGCCTGAGCTATGTAATATAGCAAGGCTGTCTTTTTTTTTTTTTTTTTTTAAATAGCTCTGTGAGTGTTTGTCTAGAGTCCTGGGTTTGATCTTGATATACACTAAGTTTCACTCTGAGTACATCCTATGGGTTCAGACAAACACACACTGATGTGATCAGAACTTTCTTTTCTTTTTTACCCTGCCTGGTACCCTTTGATCAGTGTTCCATTTAAAACTGTCGGCTCCAATCTCATCTGTTTCTAACACCCCAGAAAACAGCCACGGCAGCGTCAGAACGAGGACTTACAAAGGTGGATGCTGGGAGCAGATTCAAGGGGCCTGGCTTTCTGATGTTTTTAGATGACAGGTCGCCCTTACTTGGCCTCACTCTCCTGGCTCCCAGGTGTACGCACCCTCCTGTCACAACCATTTGGTGGCCTTTGATCTTCTGAGCTGTTAACTGAGTGATGGGAAAAGGGAAAAAGTGTTCGCTCTGCCTCTTTGGTAGAAGTTTAGCTGTGACTAAATGCCTGGGGTCGACGAGTCACTGTGCACACTGTTGAGCACCTTCTATGTGCACACACTGTTGATCGCCTACTATGTGAACACACTATCGATCACCTAGTATGTGTGCAGTGTTGAGCGCCTACTGTGTGTGCACTGTTGAGCGCCTACTATGTGCACACACTGTTGCACACCTACTATGTGCAGATATCTTTCACACCATTTGCTGTTGTCCTGTGATGGCTGCACTGTAAATATTTGCTGGATATTAAACATGCAAGTGTTTGCTTGATCATTCGGCCTTGCCAAAGCTGTTACAGCTAGATTCCGGAAGAGAAATCTGAGACTTGGAGGGGATTAGGACTAAGCCTCCTAAACACAGCTAATAGGCTCACAAATCCAAAACACTGAGCCTCATCTGTCCGGGGTGGGTCTGACTCGGTGACTTGGCTGTTGGGACGCTCTTTGTGGGGAGGGTCACTTGGTATCCTTGAAATTGCCCTTTCCTCCAAGGGGAGAGGGGCAGACAGGGCTTAGGAACAGACAGTCTGGACAGACGTCCAGATGTGGTCAAGCCCTGTGTCTAGGTTCACTTACCTCTCTGTAGAGTCCTGTGCTCAGCAGGTGATGTGGGCAGAGGCAGCTTGTGTGCTTCAGGTGCTGAGACACATGAGTTGGTTTTCTGTAAACCAATAAAACTGCTGTTTGGTGCACTTTTGTATATCAAAAATGTACAAATTTTCCATACTAGGCAAAGCCTCAGCCCATAGAAGCAGCCTTGGGGCCTTGTAGAAGGATTTCCAGAAGGTTCTCACGGCTGCTGTCTGTAGTTATGATCTATGTGCAAATATGTTTTAATTTACATAGTCTTTGTATTTTAGGCTTTGGACGTGGACCGGATGGTTCTCTACAAAATGAAGAAATCTGTGAAGGCAATCAGTATCTCCGGGCTAGGTAAGTCCTCCCTGTTGCCTGGGGCGTGGGGGGGGGTTCTCAGTGAAAACACTCTATTTAAAGTCCTGTCTGATTACCTCCCCCACTGAACATACAGTCTGGAGATACTGCCGTACCTGTTCCAGAAATAGGATATATTGCCTGTTGTCTGGTTTGGGGAGAGTCCTCTTGTCTCCTGTCTGCCCCACTGCATGAACCTACTCCATCAGGCCTGGCGACAGAAGCTCCGCCTGCTTCTGTTTGGCCTGCACTGTGAGTCAGGGCAGAAATCTCTCTGCCTTTCTCACTTCTCCTATTCTTTCCTCGTCTGGGAAGAAAATGAGTAAACATACAAACAAAGTCCACCAGTTTCCAGGTAATACTTGATCGACTTATACATGCGCTGAAGGAAAATGAATTCACCTCAGAACTGGGGCGAGCTCAGCTGCTAGACCGTTTGCTTAGGGCATGAAGAGAAGCAGACAGTGGCACACACCCATGATCATAACACTCAGGAAAGTGGAAGCAGGAGGCTTGGAAGTTCAAGGGTATCCTCAGCTATGTAGTCGGTTAAAGGCAAGCCTGCACTACGTGAGACACTGTCTCAAAACACGAGTCCTGAAACTTTTGACTTGAAGACAGCAGGCCACACAGATGGTGGCGGGGCCGCCTTGCACAAATCCTATTAATGATAGAAAATATTTTTTTTGAAAAGTCACCAAATGTCTGTGTAGTTTCATTCAGAAAGGAAGGTGGCAGCTTTAAAAACCAGAAATAGGGATGGTGGCAGAGGCTTGAAAGAGGACTAGTAGATCCTGGAATAAAAGGCTAGCCAGCCTGTGGGAGAGCAACCCTGCTAAGTTAGAGTTTGGATGCAGCGTAGGGCGTAGAGGAGCGTTCAGGCCCACAGATATCCGTACCTTGTTGTGTCTCCTTTTAGTCAAGAGTAGTGATTGGGCTGGGCGGTGGTGGCGCATGCCTTTAATCCCAGCACTCAGGAGACAGAGGCATGCAGATGTCTGTGAGTTCAAGGCCAGCCTGGTCTATAAGAGCTAGTTCCAGGACAGGCTCCAAAGCTACAGAGAAACCCTATCTTGAAAAAACGAAAAACAAAACAAAACAAAAAATTACTGTACTGATTGGAGCAGGAGGACAAGATGATGTCATCAGGCTATGGCACAGCCCGAAAGCTCACATCCCACCTAACCCCACCCAGGATAGTATGAACATGGCTGTGGGAGCCGCCCTCTGCTCATCCTTGGCACCAACTACAACAGCCACGATGGCACGGAGTCTGGAAGGCTGTCTTCACTAAGGCGTGTGCCTTGAGCAGGCTCTGTGGAATAACAGAAGGGATAGAAGGAACACACATGACGAAGGGGAGTCCAGCCAGTCTGTCGGCATATCAGAGAGGCCCAGGACCATTGGCTGGTCAGTCCACGTTACTGGATGCCCGAGCAGCCTGGATCTTGAGTTGGAAGCCTGGAGAGTTCTAAGAGAGCGATTGGTTGTAGTCTGGGGAGCGGGGTCCTTTGTCCCGTCCTGCCTGGCTAGCTTACACCCGAAATAATCACACGGAAATTGTATTAATTAATCACTGCCTGGCCCATTATCTCCAGCCTCTTATTAGCTAACTCTCACATCTTGATTAACCCATCTCCGTTAATATGTATCGCCACTTGACTGTGGCTTACCGGCATGAGTCTAACAAGCGTCTGTCTTGGGCAGGAGAATGATGGCATCTGCCTGACTCTGCTTTCTTCCTCCCAGAATTCTGTTCTGTCTTCCCCGCCTACCTAAGTGCTGCCCTATCAAAAGGCCAAGGCAGTATCTTTATTCAACCAATGAAAACAACACACAAACAGAAGAACCTCCTACACCAATTGGTCTTCAGTGTGAGATCAGAGCCCCTGGCAGAGAGTAGCTGCTCTCACAAAGGGCGGGGTGGGCAGGCCTAACAACAGCCTTTCCCTCGGACTTCCTCATGTCCTGGTCACTGCCAGAAGGAGCCACCCACAAAATTAGAGATGGCCTAAGTAAGACATAGATGATGGACTTGGGTCGGGAGCCTCAGTACCTACAAAGAGCCCAGGTTTCCCTCTGGTCCAGTAAGACTCTGATCAGGTGTAAACTGCTCCTCTTAGACAACAGGAGGGTCCTGCCGATCAGAGCTATTCCCAGGGGATTGGAAAGGTTTCCCCAGCATGCTGCTTTCCTCTGGCATAGGGCTGCGCTCAGTGGCTGCTGAGTTATGAAAGCCACTGCCCACCTGGAGTGTGTGTAGCATCCTGTTGCTCCTTAGGAGGCTGAGAGCTCACTAAGGGATGGGATGCTCGATTTTGTTTTCAAATCCCAGATTTCACAAAGAGTTTAATTTTTTTCTTTTTTTTTTAAATATTTATTTGTTATTTATTATGTATACAATATTCTTTCTGTGTGTATGCTTGCAGGCCAGAAGAGGGCACCAGACCTCACTACAGATGGTTGTGAGCCACCATGTGGTTGCTGGGAATTGAACTCAGGACCTTTGGAAGAGCAGGCAATGCTCTTAACCACTGAGCCATCTCTCCAGCCCCAAAGAGTTTAATTTTTAAAAATTGGACCCACTCGGGCCTTTTTGAGTTTGTAATTTGAGGATATTCTATTATGCACGTCATATAAAAAGGATAGTGTATTTTCATCAGATTGAAAACAGTGATTTTGTCATCACGTGTTGAAAAGGCTGTTAATCAGAGATAATCTGTGTGGTGTGCATGCCTGGAGGCCAGCCGTGGTGTGTCCACACCTGTCTCATTTACTTTCCTGACCTGCATTGCTGTGTGCGGACCATAAACCTCGTGTCTTCTGAGAAGCATTCTAGAAAAATAAAGACACAGAGGCATTGCAGGGTCTGCTTACGATCTAACAGAATTCTCCTTATTCACACGGAAATTTGTGGACGTAAGCTCCGTTCAGACATGGGAAAGATGGGGGAGGCCCAGAAGAGGGATGGAAACGGGCGGAGCACGAGTAGACAATGCTACCAGAGCCACCCGATAATTTCAGTGTACAAATATGTGTTGTAAGGGGACATAACCCTTGGTCTTTTCCATGTTCAAACAGTCCTGAGGCTACAGCTGCCATCCTTAGTTGGCGATCCAGGAACCTGGCAAGGCCTGGGCTTCTACATATCTCCTGGGCTCAGGCCACCCATCAGAGGTCCCTCCCCATGCCCACGTGCCCATCTTTGGTAGCCTTACCATTTCCTAATTGTGCCATTTTTTGGCCTCCCTCCGTGTACTATCTGCGTGATCAGAATGGTGCTTCTCCCCAAGGCCCCAAGGACTTTGTTTGCTGTCAAAAGCCCTTAACTAACAGAGCTAGGAAGTTCTTGGGGACTATGTGGGTCTGTGTCTTCCTGAGGTCCCATTTGTCCGGCCAACTGGCTGTGCACCTGACCTTGGAGGGGGGTCTTCTGCTTTGGTCATCCAGTGCCCATCACCTCCATCACGCCAAGTTTGAATTATCCTAAGACTGTGAGTCTGAATGTTTTGTTTTCCAAGTCCTAGTTTTATCTTGGAATCTATTTGAGAACAAGTGTTATCTCCTTGGAAAGTCACCTGAGGAAACCACACTTTCCTCCGGGTGTTGACGTTGGTCACAGCAGTCTGTCAAGTTCCTCTGGAACTCCTGCACTGTGGTTTGTCGACAGGAAGTCAGGACAGTGGTGAGGGGGTGAAGTGCTGTCTGCCGCAGTTGGCTAGGTGCACGTTACCTGGACAGCTTCTGCTCCAAAGGCTGTCGGTCCTGAAAGACGAGTCCCCTGTGACTGATGTTAGGGTTTAGTGACCCAGGATGGTTGCTTGTCCAGAAAGAGTGGTCCCTTTGCTCATGTCCAAAACGAGGGTGAGAATCATTGAGCATTCATGCCTGGCCTGCCTTATGCCTTCTTTTGGGATTTGTCAATATCTGACCTCAGCCTTGTTTCTACCGAGACTTGGCTACGTGCATTCCTGAGCATGTGGTGATGATGTGTGTCTCTCTCTACACTCCCCAGCTCTAGTTACCTGGGTGTGACCTTCCCAGCCCTAAGTCTGCCTCAGGCTGGCGCCTGACTGCGTAAACTTTTCTTGACTCCCATTTCCTCTTGCTTCTGAAGCCTGTTTCTGTCTGCCCAGAGGCTTAACGGAGCGCAAATTCTTCCTTCAAATTTGCAGGTGGCTTGTGGAGCGTGGGTCTCACTGTACTGAGATCTGACTGATGCCTTGGTCAAGGTTCCTCCCCTTGCCTGTTTATTCTAGAGGCCACCGCACTCCTTGGTTCTCAGCCCTTTGTCTCTATGGAGCCAGCAAATGGCCAGTGGAGTCTTCTGCAGGTCACCTCTGAGAGTTTGCGCTGGTTGTCCCAACATAATGCCACATCTCCGTGGTGTGAACATTAGAAGCTTATTGGAGTTCTGTAGATTGGAAGTCCCCCATTAGGCTGCCTTTGTAGTCAGACTCTCGGGTGGGCCCTCTTGGTTTAATATAGACAGTGCCTCACCTTGTAGCCCTGCTGACCTGGGACATGCTGTATAGACCAGACTGGCTGAGAGCTTACAGAGACCTCTCCACTTCCATGGGCCATCATACTGTTATTCTTGTGGGATGCCCTCCCTGGCAGGGGATACAGGAAACAAGTGCCCTTAGGTCTCTGCTCACAAGGGCATCAATTCCATGAGGGCCCTGCCCTCTGAGTTTATCTAAAGCGATTGATTTCCTAGCTGCTCCATCTCTTGATGTCAACACACTGAAGGTTTGGATTTTGGTATTCAAACTTGGAGATACAGTGTTCAGTCCCAGAGCAGACAATGAGTCTCCTGCCTCCCCTTCACATTTAAGTACTTTAAAAAAAAATAACATTGATTCATTATTCATTATTTTGTGTGTGGCGGAATGGGGGCTGTGTGCCACAGTGCCTGTGTTGAAGGTCGGAGAATAACTTTGAGGAATTCAGTTCTCTACCATGTGGGCCCTAGCAGTGGAACTTGGGTTTGGTGGCGA